GAGGTGTTGAAGATGTCAGTGAACACTGGAGACAGCTGGTCAGCACAACAGAGGAAGAACAATGATTTGAAGCACTACCCTCCTATTAAAGCTGTTATTCTAACTCAATCAGCTTGACAGATTGATCTCCAGCCTTGTCCTCATCAACACCCACACCTGTGTTAACGGAGGAATCACTGACATGATGTCAGCTGGTCCTTTTGTGGCAGGGCTGAAATGCAGTGGAAATGTTATTTTTTGGAATTAAGTAAATTTTCATGGCAAAGCAATTAATTGCAATTCATCTGATCACTCTTCATAACATCCTCACACATACCTCAGACCACAGTTTTCAACAGATAGCTGCAGGTGGAATGAAGGATAAAGATATGTGAAGATTCAAATCACATGCAGCTGTATCAAGGCACAAGGACAGGGTGCAGGGGAAGACTTTGGAATTAAGGATGCACCATCCTGTTTAAGATCTACAGATTAATCATGAGATAACACTGTGACAACGCTTTAGAGGTACGTCATCAGTCAGTAGTATGATTACTATAAATAGCCACAGCCGTGTTTTAACAGCAGCTGTGCTGCTGCTGTTGGACGTCACTCATACAACGCAATCAGTTAAATTGCATTTTTTCTTATTTACCATTGTTCTCATTGAAAGACTTGATGAGTGGCGGAGCAGGGATGTAGATATGTAAACGGCTATTTAGGGTAGGGATAGACTTTCCGATAACTGCTATTTAAGATAATAGGGGCTATCCTGTAGGACGTGGCTACCTTGTGACAAGTCATTCTCAGTGAGTCTGTCCAGTGCATTGCCTGTTTCTCGCCTAAACAAACATATTTTAGTGTACTGTTTAGTTGTAATAAAGGTTTTGGGAAGGTGGTGAAAAAGTTTCTGATGAAAAGAATGCACAACACAACTATTGCTATAGTTTGTCACATTGCTTGTTTTTCTTTTATTTCTATTTGGGATAATAATGTTTTGGTACTACAGTTCCCATCATGCTTTGGGTTATGTAAACAGGAACTATAATGCTGCCAGAAAGTCCAGATGTAACCATGGGATGTACAGATGTCTGCTGGATTACTGTTGATGTAGAAGAGAAAGATGTGAAGACATGATCAGCCTCTATTTAGGATTTCTGAGAGCTTTATCGATGTTTACCAATAATGGACAGATACAGACATACTGTGTGTATAGTATGTGTAGGATGTGTGTGAATGCTAAACTATTATTATTACTACTACATATGACAAGGATGTGGCTTATTTCTGTAACTCTTCAACGTAAAAGTCTTACATATAAAAATGTGTACGTGGTAAAACACCAGCCTGGAACTTTCTTCTCAACAAACACATCAGGCCAGAGAGGTGAGGGAATATTAACACACAAGGTCAGTACAGTCTGGAGGATGGAGGGATGTAGTCTGTGGTGAACCAACATCAGTGTGAGTGGCATCACTGTCACACCAGTTCCATTCCTGCTCATATTCCATCAAGCTGGGTGGAGTCGGCCTCCAGTCCAGCGGGTGTCAGTTCACACAGGTAGAATAGTGTCTCTTCGCTGGCCTCCGCCTCTGTCAGAGGCTCCAGGCGGATCAGGGAGCTGTGAGCTGCCTGCTTTGACTCCAGGTCGGTGTCCAGCAGCTCTGAGACTGGCTCAGCCTCCAAAGAGGCACCAGAGCTGGAAGAAGGCTGGAGGTGGGTGTTGGAGGAGCTGGGGCTGCTACCGGTGACAAAATCCACCTCTGGAGTAGGGGTGCAGCCATCGAGGAAGGCCAGCAAGGGACATGTTGTGTACTGGATCAACTGCTTATCTGAAAACGACACAGGGGAATCCAGAAAAAATGAAATAAATAAAAAACTAGCTGTATAATGTCCAATCCAATACAGAAAATAACCTCAATAATCTTTCCTCAGACCAACAGACAGAGACAGTCAGAGAGAGACAGAGAGAGACAGAAGGCCAGAGAGAAAGGTGCACAGCAACAACAGTAGCAACAACTACACTAATAGTAGTGACTGATGATGATGAACATGAAGAAGATGATGATGACGACAACAACAACGA